GTGTGAAATCATGTCATTTCTCGACGCATTCCACGGGTATCATCAAATCTTTATGCATGAGGAAGACGCTGAAAAAACAGCCTTCATGACTCCCGAAGGCATCTTCTGCTAGCTTGTCATGGCCTTCGGCCTAAAGAACTCAGGTGCCACCTACACCCGGATGGTGGCCAGGGTCTTTCAAGTTGTCCTAGGGTGAACCATGGAAGCATATCTTGACAACATGATCGTCAAAAGCAAGCAATCAGCGAGCCATGCTGACGACCTAAGGGAAATCTTCGCCATCATGCAGAAGTTCAACCTTCGGCTAAACCCGAAGAAGTGCACCTTCGGCGTACAAGGGGGCAAATTCTTAGGCTACATGGTGAGCCGAAGGGATATCGAGGCTAACCCCGAGAATATCCAGGCCATCATCAACATGGAACCCCCACGCAACGTGAAGGAGGTCCAACGGCTGACGGGCCGCCTAGCAGCCCTCAATCGCTTCCTATCAAAATCGGCGGAGAAGTCCTTACCCTTCTTCCAGATCATGAGAAAGACCGCCGGTTTCCAGTGGACTTCAGAGTGTCAGGGGCCTTCGAGGAACTGAAACGGTACTTATCTTCACCCCCTGTGCTCTCTAAACCCAAGGTGGGGGAGACCCTATACCTTTACCTGGGTGTTAGTCCGACAACTATCAGCTCAGTACTCATCCGGGAAGAGGATGGCATCCAACATGCCATCTTCTATGTTAGCAAGACCCTCAGGGAAGCAAAACTCCGGTATTCCCCTGTGGAAAAAACGGTGTTGGCTATCATGTGAACTGTCAAGAAGTTGGGCCATTACTTCCAAGTTCACCCGGTCCAGGTCCTCACTCACCAACCCCTCGGCGCTTTGATGAGGAGCCCCACCAGCTCCTCCCGAATGGTAAAATGGACTGTCTTCCTGAGCCAATACAACATCGACATCCGTCCTAGGCCCGCCATCAAGGGCCAGGCCCTAGCGGACTTCGTGACGGAGTGCTGGTAAGATCAGCCACGGACGAGGAGCCCTCGGCCCCCTCGGACGATTGGTGGACCCTCTACACCGACAGCTCCTCCGCTGTCAAAGCATGTGGAGGAGGGGTGGTTCTCATCTCACCCGAAGGCTTCCGGGCCTATTACGCTGTCCGCTTCTCCTTCAAAGTCTCCAACAACGAAGCGAATACGAGGCCCTCCTCTGTGGCCTTCGGCTGGCAACTAACATGAAGGCGCGACAGATCCACGTCAAGTGCGACTCCAAGTTAGTTGTCGGCCAAATTTATGGGGAGTACGAAGCCAAGGAAGGGAGAATGAAGCAGTACAAAGAAACGGTCAAGGAGTTGCTTAAGGTATTTGAGGCACACTCTCTTACTCAATTACCGAGGGCTCAAAACTCCGAGGCCGACATTTTATCGAAGCTCTCGGCCGAATCCCCTGAGCATATCTCAAAAATTGCCAAAATCGAGGAGCTCAGCCTCTCCAGCATACATGCTAGCCCCATCATGAACATACAACAAAGGCAAGAGGACTGGATCTCAGATATTGTCGCCTTCATCACCACAGGGCAATTGCCTGAAAATGAGGCCCGTGCCAAGCTAGCGAAGCTGAGGGCTCCCAGGTACACTATCGAAGATGGAAGGCTTTACAAAAGATCATACAACAGGACACTACTTCGGTGCCTTCATCAAGATGAAGCCGAAGTTGCGATGGAGGAAGTGCACAGTGGCACTTGTTCAGCTCACCAGGGACCCTTCTCCATGTCCCGAAGGCTCATAATCCAGGGCTCCTACAATGGCCCGAGATTGTGCGGATCTCGCCCGAAGGTGTACCGCATGCCAACACTTCCAGAAAGCCCCCGGCAGGCCAGCGGTCAACTATGCCCCCATCAGCACATCTATACCCTTCGCTCGATGGGGCATAGACCTTGTGGGCCCTCTCCCGAGGGGTACCTCCAACAACAGGTACATCATTGTCGCCATCGACTATTTCACCAAATGGGTAGAAGCTGAGCCCCTCGCCAGCATCACCGAGGCCAGGTGCCGCCATTTTGTTCTCAAGAACATCCTCACAAGGTTTGGCGTCCCCCAACAAATCATCTCCGACAACGGGACTGAGTTTGAGGCAGCCCCGTTCTGTGCCCTCCTAGAGGCATGGAGCGTCAAACACACCTTCTCATCCGTTGCCTACCCTCAAGGAAACTGTCAAGTGGAAAACGCCAACAGGACCTTGCTCGAGGGCCTAAAGAAGAATCTGGAGGCCGAAGGGGGTGGTTGGGTAGAAGAGCTCCACAACATCTTATGGGCCTACCGCACCACCCCTCGGCGAGCAACGGGCGAGACACCCTTCTCTCTTTGCTATGGATTTGAAGCTAAGGCCCCCACTGAGGTAACTCTTCCGACCCGAAGGGTCACACAATATGATCCCGAGTCAACGACGCCAATATGGCCCTCAACCTTCATCTTATTTCAGAATGCCGAGAGCAAGCCTTCATACGCGCGGAAAACTACCAAAGGCAAGTGAAGAGTTACATTGATGCCAAAGTCCGCTCCCGGGAATTCCAAGTGGGGACTATGTCCTACGAAGGAGGGAAGCCAGCCAACCAACCGAGGGAGGCAAAATGGCGCCCAAATTTGAGGGCTCTTACATAGTGACATCTATCATCAAGCCTGGAACTTACAAACTCAAACGCCCCAATGGGGCTGAGGTCCCTAGACACTGGAATTTACATCACTTACTTAAATTTTATCAATAACATTAGAGCGGCCAAGCCCTCATAACTAGTGAATGTATTATTTTGCGGCCCAAGGCCTCCAATATTTTGAAGAATGAAGGCATATTAAAGACACCAAGAACATGGAACGAGACTCTTATGAGCGGCCAAGCCCTCATATCAGCCCCTGGCCCAAGGCCTTATCACAAGCAAGAACCCTCGACACCAAGTGCCGAGGGTAGACTATACTATCACCTGCAACAGGGAAGAAAACACCAAATGTCTTCAATGAAGGCCCCTCGGCACCCAGTGCCGGGGGCATACACTACTATCAATTCTCAACAAACGAAAAAAAACACCTAGTGTTTTCAAAGAAGACCCATCGGTACTAAGTACCGGGGGCCATATACCGGAACAAACACCAAGTGTTGTTTCTAAAGCCGTACCCCTCGAGGACGCATATACCGAAGGCGCCACCTATCGGTGCCGGTAACACGCAGCGCCCCCGGCCATTTGCAACCAGTGTGCAAATGAAAACCCTTCCCTGAAACGCTTTCCGCGTCACTACCCCAAGGGTATGACAGGCAAGTAATATGCCCAGGATTCAACATTAAAAAACGGAACTCTTTCCGCGCCATTTCCCCCAGGGATTGGCAGGCATCTGATATGCCCAGGATTCGACTTCCAAATCGAAACGCTCCCCGTGCCACTACCCCAAGGGTATGGCAGGCCACGGACTACGTCTGGCGCCGAGGGGACGACTTTCAAAACTGAGGCGCTTTTCGTGCCATCTCCCAAGGGGAGGCAGGCTGCAGACCATGTTTTGTGCCCAGGAAACGACCCTCGATCCCCTCGGAACTCGGAAGGTTAACCCGAGGGGGGAGCTAATGGTGTATTCTATTACCTCCCGATAGGCCAAGCCTTACCAAGAAACCAAGTTTCTTGAAGCCTTCCCTTCACTACAAAAAAAATGGGGTGGTGAAGGGGAGTAGACTCAGCGAGAAATCAATGAGTACACCACTCCAACAAATTCACGGGAACATAACGAGGGCTCCCCACGGGAACACCTTCGGTACCTGGAAGCTCCTAATTACCAAAGATACTATTCAACAAACATCATTAACAAATGGGCTAAGTCCACTTTTTGATTGCCTCCGGCTACATCAAAACCGAAGGCTCAAATCCTACAGAACGTGATAGGCTCACTCAACAACAATTCAAAAACGTCCCCGAAGGCTACTATACAACAAATGCTATCAGATGTTGGCCAAGTCCAAGCAAGAATCACCTCCGGCACCTCACTAGACACCGAGGGGATACACCCAGGCATTGTCCGAGGGAATCTGTCTTTTTATGCTGCACTTGAACTACAAAATTTCCTAAGTCAACACTGTGGAGACATGACAACAGTCGAAGGCTTTTGTTGCCACAGGCCAACCTTGCGAGACAAAGGAAATTGTTCTAGGCCCACAAAGTAGGCAGCCGAAGGGTCCCCGCACCGAAGGCCATCAACAGGAAATACTTAGAAAAAACTTCTAAGTCATAAAGCGTGTGGCCCTCGCCTCGGCAAACTCACATTGCAACGAGGGTCACCCCACTTCATGCAGCAAGAAATGCCCACATATCGAAGGCCAGATGATATTCAAACACTTAGAAAAATTTTCTAAGTCCTAAATACTTTGCCCCCTGTCGAGTCACCGGTCAACCGAAGGCACACCTACGACAAGGCTCTCACATTCACCCGAAGGCTCCTATCCCATACAACCACACTTGGAAAAAATTTCTAAGTCCTAAATATTTTTAACCCTCGGTCAAATCTCCATGCAGCCAGAGGGGCCACACGGTCGAAGGCTTGGTGAAACTACACTTGGAAAAAATTTCCAAGTCCTGAATATTTCGCCCTCGGTCAAGCACCCACACAACTGAAGGCCTGGTGGGAGGAAAACACTAAGAAAGTTTTTCTAAGTCCCTAACAACTGACAATCTAAGCATCAAGGTACGAGGGCATTTATTCACGAGGCGTATTAGAAGGCATTCATTCAAAGAAAAACGAGGACATACATTCAAAGAAAAACGAGGGCATACATTCAAAGAAAAACGAGGGCATACATTCAAAGAAAAACGAAGGCACACATTCAAAGGAAAACGAATTATGTACAAAAGCCCAAAGGCAGACATTCATTCATCAAGAGGAAGGAAAAGTTGAAATGTCTATTATAGGATGGCCGAGGCCGGAAGCAAACAAATGTTCATTACAAAGCCTGTTCTTTTAAAAATTACTAAGTACAATTTCACCCAACCTTTGCTTCCTCAACAGGCTTCGAGGTGACCTCTGCTCCAGCCTCCTCACCATCACCCTCGACCTCCTTCACCAGCTCTGTATCTTCTAGGTCTGGCCTTTGGACATCCGGAGGGAGGGGAACACGAACATCTGGCTGTAGGGGAGGGAGGCCATATGCTGCCGGGTCAAAATCCTTCGGGTCGATCTTCAAATGACGGGCCATCCTCCGGTAGATGAGGGCCTGAGTAAAAAACTCACCCCCATCATAATATTGCTGGCCCTTTCGGGAAACCCACTCTACGCCGGGCCCGTCACACCACTCGTCAACAGAGGACTCTACAACCGAGGACAGCCATTGTTTGTGCCCCTCGGCTTTCCACCCCTCTGCCAGGAATCCAGAGATGGCCTCCTCTCGTGCCTTGGCAACGGCTTCCGCCTTGGCGGCCTCGGCCTCCTTGGCGGCCTTTTCAATGGCTTCAGCTGCGGACCTCTCAGCCTCGGCCTTGCCCCGGTCAACTGCCTCCGCTCGCAGCGTCATCTGCCGAAGGCTCTCCTCCAGCGCGGCCATTTGCCTGATGGCATCAGAATTCTGGTGAACGAGTTCCTTCATTTTTGCATCCTACTCAGCCTTGTGCATGCGCCACACCTCCAGCCTCCGGGCCTGCTCGCCGAGGGCAATGCAAGCCTGTAAGATACAAAGGAGTTAGGAAAGCTATGCAATATATCCTAACGCAAGGCAGAATCGTGACATGCCAAAATGTGTAGTGTGAAATGGTGTAAAAATGTGAATGGAAATGATGTTTTAATTGGCTTGTAACGATATAGTATAGAGTAAGTGAATATCGTTCCGCTAGAGAATGGCTCAAAAAGAGAACTAGAATTAACGATTGATTTTTAGCTAATCACAAATTAATAATATTTTGCAATGGAGCTAAGTGAACAGATTTTTTTATCTCGTTTTTGTCAATGCGGAATTGCTAGAGTAAAATAAATCACAATACTTGGTAATTTAACAATTAATGATATAGAGAAAATTAGGCTTGGGCTAAGAGTAATTTTATTTTGATGTTCATAATAATAAAGATTTAACTAATTAACTTAGTTACTTTTAGGTGTGTGAAAGATTTACAAATGGTAATCTTCTAATCGTTCCCACGACTTAGTTGATTACACTATCTCAAATTAATTCCGCTCCCGCGGTAATTTTATTAAGACAGTAAAAAGTACAAAATCAAATTATCCTAAATTCCTTAATACTTCCGTGTAGCAATTTAGTGGGTGAATTAACAAAATGGATTTTAATGAAATTTCACTCCCGTGATAATATTCATTTCCCAATATAATGTATTTAGCAGATTAGAATATTCAACCCAACACTCCTAAAATTAACCAAGTAATAGTTTTAACCAATTATTATCGTATGAACATTAACAATAAAAATTACATCTTGCCCAAACATAAACTAATTTAGTTACACATAATTACAGTAAACGAAATAAAAGTAAAACTAATGATAGGCATAATTAATTTAACACATTAAAGAAAATAAAATGAGTATTTGAATAAGAACCTGATGGCATAAATAATGAGATGGAGTAGAGAAAGTAAAATCCTTAAGCTGAGAATGATTCTGGCTGATACTTCCCAAATGAACTTGATTGTTGAAATTAAAGAACTAAAATTCTGGAAATGAAAATTACGAACTGAAATTTACAGAAAGTGTTCTTGACAGAATCACTTTTATTATATGACTACTACTATGAACAAAGCTAAAGAAAAGAGGAAGAAGATTTCTCTCCGAATTGGTGTGTTCTTTTCAGCTCCCAAATGGCTCTTTATATAGTAGTGGAAGAAGGGGCTAGAGCATCAAGAGTCATGAAATGAAGATGGTGAAAATAATTTTTGCTTGGCTTTTACTTCCATCTTCATGAGATGTGATTGCCCGGTTCACAATTTCTCTATGCGAATAGTACGACTCCTATTCAATGGTGTATTTCTTTGTATTGCTGATGTTCTCTCTGAATGCAGAGTGAAGACGATGAAGTGGATTTTTATTTTGAGTGCATCCAAGTTGCAAGGTCCCTTCATCAATAATTCAATCAATCCAATCTTTATTGGAGTTTTCTTTTCTACGGTGGATGCTTCTTTCACTATTTTAGTGAATAGTGGATATCATCTACTCAGCCAGACTTTGGCTCTTTATCCGCCACTTGCATATTTGGCCGGTTAGCTCTTTGATGAGTTAACTGGTCACCAGTTAACCGGTACATTTTATTGCGGACAGTCTGGCTTATTCTGAAATGTATTTCGGGTCTCTTGATAAATATTTCGGAGTTAAAGTAATGACCCGGTTCACTTTGATGATTTTTCTGTCTTCACTCGGGAGTAATATTTATTTCTTTTCAGAAAATAATTTACATCCCAAATTGCCCTGAAATTGACAAAATATACCAAAAAAGTGCAATACCTTAAAATGTCCAAGATGATAAAAATCAATCCTTTTTATTTAAAAAATGAGAAATAAAATACTAGAAATGTGAAACAAACAAGATCGTAAATATGGTAAATTAGGAGTACATCAGATAACAATGAAGAAACTTACAGTTAGGGAAGACCGGAGGATCTTGTCCTCGAGGGCTACGTCATCATCGGCCCCGAGGGCGGCTCTGTCGATCTCAGGGGTCATGCCCCTCAGGAGCACCCTCGGATCCACCGTGCAGTTCATCACGGCTGTTCCCCTCGGGAGAGAAACCTGCAGAACCTCGGAGGGTGGCTCCCCAATACCCATCGGCATTTCAGCCGCCGGCATCTCCACATGCGTCCCGGAGGCGCAGCGCTCATCTACAATCACCATAGGAGGATCCTTCTTCCCGGTATCTCCCTTTTGGGCTTCTTCCCCTCGGGAGCCTTGCCCGCGGCCTTCCTCTTCGCGGCGGCGGCGGCATCAGCAGTAGGGACCGTCGACGGGCCCTCGGACTTCTTGAAAAAATCACCGGCGGGCTTCTGGATGCCCGCATCCGTCCCCTTCGGAATTTTGGAGGACTTCTTCTTCAAATCAGCAAGCCCCTTGACATTCATCTTGGATACCGGGATACCTGCAAAACAATAAGGGGTTTGGCCGACGGGTCATCAATAAATGACATGAAAGTACAAAAAGAGAATAAAAAATGAATGCTAAGTACGAAAATGAAGATGCCCTCGGCTGCTACCTCCTAAACCCCCGGAGGCTCCATCAAGCATCGGGTACTTTTCATCTGTTTCCCCTAGGAAGCGATACCGCCGGAACCCGAGGGTATACAGATCCTCCTCCAGGGTGCACTCCTTGATGGTTATATTCTTGTTTCGACCCTCCGGGATCTTATCCAGGATCCTGCCATTCTTCTCGAGGGCGGCGCTCCTCACCTTCTCATGCCGCCTAAATCGGGCGCGCAGCTCCCTCGGGAAGGGGCTCTCAGCTAGCCTGACGTAGCACCATCACTCCTTCCAGCCTTTGTTTGAGGAGGGCGCCTCAGTGAATAACTTGAACAGAGCCACCTGTTGCAGGTTCGCGAAGCCCTCGGCATTCGCATGCCCCCCGGCACAAGTTGAGACTTTGGAAAAATAAGTCCAAGCTAGGCGTTACCCCCCAGGACTTACAGAGATGGAGGAACCCAGCGATGTACGAGTGGCTATTCGGCGTGAGCTGGCAGGGGAGCAGTACTACGTACCGAAGGTACTAACGCAGAAAAGGGTGCAAAGGGAATCGGAGTCCCATTGACACCGAGAGGATGTGAACGGCTATACATCCCTCGGGGTCCCGGGAGAGGACATCATCAGGTCCCGGTGGTACTACCGTCGCCGAGGGCCCCACATGAAGCTGGGTAACATAGAAGTCCGCCTCATCAGCCTTCGACCTTATCTCGAGGGCGGCGGTATTCAGGAAGGAGTAACCCTCGGGCATATCAACAGGCTTCCCTTGGTCAGCAACACTGCCTTTCTTCTTGGAAGCGGCAGCCTTCGTCTTCTTCTTACCGGGGGGCCACCCGGAGAGGGGCCGGGTTCAATGGCCGAGAGGTGCTGGCCTCACCGGCATCGTGAGGGGGAAGAACAGCGACGGTGACCCTCATGCACTCTCTATGCGCCTCTTCCTCGGCCACTTGCCAGGCGAGAGCCATCTCTTCATCCTCGTATTCTTGTTCGAACCCCTCGGCTTCCACCTCGGCAACGAGGGCTCTCTGCAACTCCATCGCCACGACGGCATCATGCCCCACCGAGGGCTGTTCACTTGTGGACTCCACATCGGAGACAGTTTCCTCCTCCATCGAGGGCTCCCTCGAGATGTCTTGGGAATCGCTTTGTGAAGACATTTGTTTATACTAAACCGAGGGTTCGGAGATACTAAAGGCTCTAAGCTACAACCCCTAATCTAAGGCCACAAAGCACAGCTAGCTAAGAAGGGTGAAGAACGAGTGGGGAACTGACCTTGGAACAACACTTGGATCGAGGGCAGGTGTTTCTCTCTCTAGAAATCAAATGGCCAGAGCTTTGCTAACAACAATGATCGTACAAGGAGGAAGTCCTCTGGCCTTGGGTATTTATAGGCACCGTAGATCTGGGCTTGGGCCGGAAACCGGGCCTCCGGTTGGAAAGCCATCATTACGAACCGTCGAATTGCCCAATCGGTGACACCCGCCCACAGGCAACCAACGAACATGCGTCACGTGAACTCCACCTCCAACGGTCATATTACAACGACTATATTCTGGGAACGCGGGCTGTCTCCTTCGCTCCACTTCATTAAGAGGAGCCCCCAGGTACACTTACCCAGAAGTGCTCCCGACCAATACCCCTCATAATACATCACAAGTGCCTTCGGGCTCACTCCTTCAGAAGCCCACGGCTTCGCAACGGGTGCACCCCTCGGGAACACTCAGCCCTCAAACACATTGAGGACCACGTAGCCCCCGGGGGAGCACGCCTTCATCAAAGGCTGCCCCCCACTCGTCAACAAACAACGGACCCCTCGACAGAACAGGTAATATCACCTACATTCAACGCACCCTCATTCTCATGAATTGGGGGCTCCCCCCGGCATCCCCCAGGATATCAAAAGCGAGCCTTCGGCAAAGCAACACACGCGCCTTCAGACAAGGATAGCCTTCGGCGAGAATACTGCCACTCATTTCAGACCAGGGTTTTACCTTTTCGACTCATCATTGGGGGAATTCGGTGCACTCTTTTTCCCTCATTGGAATTTTTTCCCACAGGGTTTTTTCCAATGAGGTTTTTAATGAGGCATCCCCTCAAAATGAAACGAAAAGCGTCACCCCTCGGCTTCATATTGCAGGCAGACACTACTCTACTCCTTTTCACCACTTTGCAAGTGCCTCAAGGAGAGAGGGACTGGAGAACCCCTTCGGGAAAAACCTCAAAAAACAAAAAATGTCAAAAACTACCACAACAACAAACATGATCCCTCAAGTCCCGGAATGTGGGTAACTGAGGGACTGCCCTCGGCTGAAACATGCACACAACGAACTACCCACAAACTTTACAAACTACAACGGAACAACACCAAAGGACAAACACAAATTACTCTTTTTCCATCAAGTACCTTTCGGCAAAAGGAGTGAGGGACTCCTGATGGAGTATATGGCCCAGGAACTCCCGACCCATAGACTCCTACTAATCTAAGGGAGGCCCAATAGGCCCAGGAAGCACAACAGGCCCAAATCATAGCGGCCCAAGTACTGAGCAACCCACGTGGCACACGGGGGGTGCCTTCGGCCCCTTGGCCGAAGGCTCCAAATTCTCACAGGATGGCCAACTCAAGCAAACAAAGTTACTGGGAGAAAACGGCGAAAATCAGTAGCCCTCGGCACTAAGGAGGTTCTCGGTACTCAGAGCCCTCGGCTAATCATCTGCAGCCGAGGGTACCTTTCTCGACATAATATCCTCTCCACATGCGCCTGAATCACCGTACCAAGTACGACGTCACATCCAACAGCCGCATTTAATGCGGCCACATGCGAATGCCAGTGCCACCCCGCTGAGGTGACCCCTCGACCACCAGAATGATGTCATGTGTCCCTATCTGGCATTTATTACTACTATAAATAGCGCCCATTTTCCCCATTTGTAATCCAAGCAGAAATTCGCTCATTACATTCTCAGCAATACACTCTCTCTCTTACTTTTGCTCTGACTTCTCTCTAGTTACTCCCCGCAATAACCCTTCGGATACATACCCCCGGGTAGACTATCCATCAACTACGTATTGGTGTTGTATTGACTAATTATTTTGAGTGCATTTCACGACAAAGTGCACGTCAAATTTGGCGCCGTTGCCGGGGAAAGGCAATTATTTTTCTTTTTATTTTATCTCATAAAAATAAAAAATAAAATAAAATAAAATAAAAATATAAAAAAAAATTACTTTTCTAGTTTCTGAGCTTACATGAGTATATGGATACCAACACATCATCCTTAGAGAGTCAAATTTCCATTTTGGCTTCTCTCATAAAGGAGTTTATCTTAAGCTCAGAAACTCAAGATGCCAAGACCTGCGATGTTTGCATGTCTCACAGACATATTGCGGATTTTTGCCCAAAACTCCAAGAAGAATACATCGCACAAATTAATTATGTACCTCACATGAGGTATGATCCATTCTCCAACTCTAACATGTCTACGGAGGACATGGTTCGGGCTCTTACTAACAGCATGACCACCATGCAACAAAACATGGTGCAATTCCAAAATGAGACCAAGTCTAGCATTTTAAACTTGGAATCTCAAGTGAGTCAAATAGCCGGAGCCGTGAGTAGGCTTGAAGCAAGGGATTCGGGAAAACTTCCCTCTCAAATAGAATGTGATCCTAAACAGCAAACTTTTGCAATCACATTGATAAATGAGAAGGAAATGCAAGAGGAGATCCAAAATCCAGAAGAAGTAGAAGAAGAAAGAGACACGGAGCTTGAGCTGGTCAAAGAAGAGGATGAACCGTGTTTCAAGGTCAAATATCCATCCTTATCATTCTTTGAGGTACCCCCAACAGTTCTAAAAACTTCGAGGGAAACTCATAAAATTGAAAAGGATAAAGACATTTTTGAAATCTTCACCAAAATTGAGAGATCAAAACATTTT